CAGCTTAGCTCATGTCTGGTAGGAACACCACGTGAGCTATGGATGCGTTCGGCGTCACATATTTGGCGCGAGAACAGCGAGTGCACCGCTCAGTACCGTTAAATCACGTACCCGGCTCCGTTGGTTGGGACACGTGTTGCACATGCAATCCATCGACTCCCGCGACTTACGCTTTTAGCGCGCCCGAAGTCTGGAACAGAAGGAGGGGAGGCCAAGCAATGACTTGGTCGAGAGGAATGAAATCCTCATTTCGAACTTGGCGTCGGTTGGTGCATCCCGACTTCCGGGCTAGTGTCTCAAGGGCGATGAACATGTTTGTTTAGATACACTTGCTGATATGATGAAGAGCCTGCCCAATTGTATTTGTGTTGTGAGTATCTTTGCCCATCCCCTTCTCTTTTAGATCTCGCCTATAATTATGATCTCTTACTAAATACATAATATGCTATTTAACCTTATATTACTTGCTTGTTGAACTTTTTTGTAGTCTATACTTTTTAATATCTTATCTTTATGTATTGCGGCACAATGGTTGATGTGCGTTTTACACCCACAACTAACGTGGATTGGTGATGATAGTGACGTAACAGAACAGCTCTTGCAATGTTTTACTTTCGGCGCAATTGCATTAAGATCCATGTACACGCACCCGAAACGTAAATAGTTATTGTCCAGCTGCACATTTATAATAACGCAGGCTTAGCGATACATATGTGAGGGAATAGGTACTATTGATGCGCGCAATGATTTCTGATTGCGTGACTACAAGACGCAGACAAATATTGTGCTCGCCAACCCTCACGAATTCGGGGTTGTCGGATATACTTTTGTGTTAACGTGGATAATGTGGTGAGTCCTGAGATGCCATTTTTACTTTAGGGTAACTTTCTTGTACTAACGTTGTTCTCACAAATCATCCCACGGGAAGTGTCAAGCCTCGGCTTTTTATCCGTATTACATCATTGTTCCGTTGCATATAGATGGCGCGACCATCACCTAGTCCAGTCTTACAACACCCACTAAATGCACAGTCGCTGAGCATCAATCAACTCGAATTTACAGTGACTAGGTGGTTGAGATGCGAATGAATGCGAAGATGGTTCGCAGCTACCGCATACAATGTCGGATTGTTGCGGTAATCGTATTCACGAGTATCTTCCATTGCGCACGTTTCGGTCACGAGTATGCTTTATGTACCAGAGAGGGAAACAAGTGTGCATAGAAAGTGTTGGGAGAGCAACACCCAACTATTTCCAAAATGGATTTTGTTTTTGAGGAAACGTGCCTTTAGCAGCAAAACACGCTTGGATTGAGTTTGATGGGGTAAGTTCATTATTTGTTGAAATAGTGTGAGACCATCTTCCGATGGAACTGCTCTGCGCTCGTCAGTGAACGTGAGCGTTATGATGTGTAATTCAGCATTATCTAAACCACTGAGGTAGTGTGGTGAGGGGAGTTGAGTACATGCTGGTGTCGATCTACCACTATAATACCTTAGGGGTAGTAACGATTTATCACTTGAGAATCCTAGCAGACTTGGGAACGAGGAAGTAGTTGAAGCATTTAATACAGTTTGCGACTGGCGTAGTGGTGCCCACTCATGTCATCTGAAGAAGCTATAGAACGAGTGATATCATATAGTTGACCTTCGTCTGAAGGGTCATTGCTGGGAATGGCTGCGGATCCATCCCCGTTTCTCCTGAGAGTTACTAATAGCTGCACATGTGTGGGGACAGCGTTATCAACTTGTTTTTGATGTTATACCTATTTCCATCACTTTTACTGTAAACCACTGGATGTATATTCTTCGTGGTATCTGTCGGCTTGGGATTCAGTGTGATATTACAGCAAGAGGGTTTTTCTACGTGTTTAATGAATCCGGGTGATTTTGTAGATTATTGGTAAACACTGGCCCTTGCAATTGACAAATTGTCGGCGAGTGACAGCATACTGTCTCTAACACCCTGTTATTTCCCTGTGGAAATGCGTTGGGTTTTGATTCTGCTGTCGGATTTCGTGATCGCACCCCTGCCAACCACTCGCGGACTGCTACCCACGAAGCGTTCAGATTGGGGCGGTCTCTGGTCATAGCACTTGTGGGCGTTTTTATGGTTCTGGCATTAAGAGCACTCAATGCTGATTATCCGAGCTTCGCAAAATCGAGATCCACACCAACACAAATGATTTCTCCATCGTGTTTGACTGCTTCGTGTGTCACCGTAGGAGATTTCGAGTCGCATGCTATCTATGCTTTCGGTGTTCTTGGCACAGTCTCAAGAAGTGATTTTTGTAGAGGGGTACTGTCAACTTTGAACACTGTGCCCTTACATTGAGTGGTTTGGCTAATGGCTAGCCGACAACGCAAGAATTTGTCGGCAGATTCTTCGGCTAGAAATTCGAAAATAATCGCTCAGCATTATATTAGCGTTTTCTTTTTAATGCGCAAACATTTACCTTCAACGCCGGGCATACTGCAGGTACTCAGTAACGATGATTACACTTTACTCAAATTATATTTATCAAGTATGTTGAATGTGATGACATTTTTCATTCTACTCGTTCGTTCTTGTACTTCAGATGCGATAGGTGCAATAATTTGCCCCACATTTTCATTTGGGTTGGCTAGAGGTTTTCTGATGCGTTTCTAATGTATTCTAAGGAAACTGTGATGTTCCTCCGGTCCGGCGTGCCAATCTCTTCCGTGTCCAAAAATAGTAAGATGGGCTGTAATAGACTCTTAGAGCTGCAACACAAAATAACTACCTCGTAGACGGCTGGATGCCCAACCGCCTAGTAAGAGGCCGGTGTAAGCGAAGCAGCTAATGAAGCATGGAAAATGGAAGGAAAAGTGTCGGATAGGAATAATAGGGTAAATTTGCCAGGAAGCAACACTCATCGACCTCTTACTTGTTAACGTGTTACCGTGACGCCCGCGGAACGGCTACATTATCCCACCTCTTAGTTGACGCTGTCCTCAACGCCCATAATGTCCCATACCGGCATCGACTTACGTACCTGCGAGAGGTATTGTGCTCGGTGCATTAGGCTTGGGAGATTCCACGAGAAGCAGTACGACAGCAGAAAACTTAACCATTGTCTCAAGGACTACAGTCTAGGTTCGTGGACTGCTGTCGTGAACGGGCAGGGTCGGCAAATATGGAATATTCCTCCGGTCCAGCGTTCCAAGCTCTTCCGTGTCCACGTAGTACGACGGGCCTTAATAGACCCTTAGAGCTGCAACACCGAATAAATACCTCGTAGACGGCTGAATGATCAACCGCCTATTAAGAGGCTGATGTAAGGGAAGTAGCTAAAGAAGCACGGACGAGGGAAGGAAAAGCGCCGACGAGGAATAAGTGGGTAAGGTTAACAGAATGCAAAGCTCATCAACTTATCTGTTAACGTGGTACCGTGACGCTCGCAGACCGGCTGCAAAACCATATGATGCTTAAAAGTTTTCTGCATTCCAAAGTTTGTTTCAGTTCATATAGTTGTAGTTCGAGGAAGCCAGCTTTATCATTTAGCCGATCAATAAAACTGCTACTTGAAGGAGCACTGTTTTGCGATCTTTTTTATTGCTTTGTGTTTTTTGGCGCTGTTTGTGGAGTATAAATATAACTTTTCGCCTGCCGAGTGTGACCAGATGTGTCCGAAGCCATTATGGGCTAACGTCGTTAGTGCTGATACGTATAAAGTACTAACTAATAGTATCACAAAATACAACGAGATTGTGGCTACAGTAAAAAGTAGCCAGTAAAACTACGAACCGGTAACACTGAAGCCCTACACGTAACTAAATGGCGCAGAACCACTTAAGAAAATACCGAATTTGCAGAATATGAGAGTAAAAACTGACCGTTCTCGTGTTTCGCGCCGTTGATCACCTCGTAGGTGTGTACTGATTGCATGCTCTGTTTCATTCTCTCCACTTTTAGGTCAGGCGCATGAGCCGTCTGCAGGGCAAGATGGGTGGCAAATGCTTATCGATCCGATAAATGCAATGCGCGCTTGTGGGTGCAGGCTTGTAAGCGCACATGCACATTCATGCTGATTGGGCGGATTATAAACGGGTGACTGCAAAAATGATTTGCAGCTACCGAACAAATAGTCAGCTTGTGAGATGGAGCTCGTTGAAAAACCTGAGAACCCTACTCTTGAATGACAGTGTAACCTTAGGTATGCTCACAAAAATTGCTAGTTTTGCACGTGAATTCCGATGGATGTTTCCAGAAATTCAGCAGATTAAACAGAGATGAAAGAAGAATGAAGCTGAATCCGTTGGATAGAGCTCGTGAATCCAGGTCGAATGAGCGGAAACGCAACTGTGCGCTGAAATGGCGATAGAACTCGGGATGAGTCAGAGTGTTGCAACCATGCGGCTGCACTCCACCTGCAACGGAGCAGACCTGTGTGGGTGCATTTTCAGCATTTTCAGCTAGCTACTACTGATGTTCTAAAACTGCAACATGAAAAATGCGAAATTGCATGGATTCAAACAATGGTATTAGGAGCACAGGTGTTACTCGGATAACCAGCCAGGAATCCGCATCATGTTAGCGGTGCATTGACGTAGTCCAGTTTGTCCATCCGGACGCTAATTCCTCAAGTCAACAAATCCTTGGATAACTTTTTTTGTATGCGTTTGTGATCTGTTGGTCAAAATCAACAAACCTCGTAATGCGTGCAGCATCTCACAGTTTCTTTTCATAGTATTGTCAGAGAACAGCATTACGGACCAAAGATAATCTTCGAAAAAATTTATTGAAACTAATAAATTCACAGCAGAAAGAGTAAGAATGATGTTCCCGTAAAAAGGCAACAGCGGATTTAATTCCCTCGCCACAAATGTTTCGCTTTTTATTGGTATGCCACTGCACCCCAGCCCCAATGCAACGTAAGCATTTCACCATTCGTTAGCTGGTAATGCAGCTCTATTTTATCACATCCTTTAGATTCTTGGTCTTACTGATTTGGCTTATTCAACTTACTTGCCCTTCCAGCTTACGAGATGGCCGTCTCTCGGTGTTTCTGGCATCTGAACTTGTCCCTGGCGATATCGTCTACATCTCCATGGGTGATCGTGTTCCAGCCGACTTGCGTCTTCTCGAGGCCGTCGATTTACGAGTAGACGAATCCAGTCTAACCGGAGAAACGGAGGCTGCGCCTAAAAATGCTCAAACCCTACCATCGAACCACACCATCCCAATTTCAAGTAAGCTGGGGCTTCGTCAGTTACCTTGGGGATATCCGATTGTTTTTCTCCCACGTTTTGATTAGCTAATCATCCGACATCGCTGATATCGTCCGATTTTCATGTACGCATTAGTCTGCAGCTAGTTTATTGTTCTATTTGGTCGAGCCGAGCATTATCAAAGTCTGTGTACATCTTCCTCTTACCTAAGTTCGTTCCGCCTCCATTGTTTTATTCCGTGCCTAAAACTATAATGCGTCAGTTCAGTACAATTAAACAACTGTACTCCCAGAACCGAAATGCGATGGATCAAGTTTCCACTACTCGCTTCACCATGGTAACAATAAATAAATATGGTGAGTAAATGGGATGCACCACAAGTGGGCGTGTGAAAGGGGTTAAACTAATATATGCGGAAACGCAATCGGGATGAAATGCAAATTACCAGCTACTTGGAAGAGCGCCATTGGCCTCTCGATTGCACCAAAATCAACAGGACCCGCAACCAATTTTGTGTCCCATACGGCGGCCCTCATCCGCGAAGACAAAGTCATTCGATCCGTATCTTCATGCCGTTAGGCCACATCATCCACTGGCCACCTCACTGTTTCTCCCAACTAGCTGCGGCGACGGCATGGGCTGTTACACCTTGGAATTCGGTATAAGCAAAATCGTATAGTGGACTTGGTAAGCCATACGTAATTGGTTCGGATTAAACCGATAATCCATTGATGTCCAACCGGGTCTAAATTCGAACACCAACTGGTACAACTCCGTATTATTCATCCGGTGTCTCCACCATATGTGAGCGATACTCCGCGAGCACTAGTGATCAAAGGCGGTCAATTGATTTATGTCTGCACGAAGCGGCTATGTTTCTGATCCAAATACTAACGCCATCATTCGTTCATCATACACCTTAGCTAGAGATGGAAAACACGTCAGCTACTGTGCCGCAATACCTAAGAAAAGAAAAAAACACAACAGATGCACGCCAGCTGCTCTACTAATAATGGGTGGGCATCTTTCCGGAAATCTACCAGCCGGCTACTATGCAGCAAACAATTTATTGTTCAAACTGTATATTGTGCTGAGAAATGAGATCGCGGTTGAAGGGGGAGAAACAAAGCAACTCACAACATGGACGTCACTCTCGGCTCCTAGCCATATCAGCAAGTGTATCCAGCCAAACGTGTCCATCATCTCTTAGACCTTAGCCAAGGCCAACGCCGAAGTAAGCGCATTCATTGCTCTCGACCAAGTCATCGCTTGGCCTCCGCTCTTCCTTTTCAATCCACACTCCTGGCGCGCAAATGACGCAAGTCGCTGCAGTCGGAAGGTTGACTTGCGCAACACGTGACCCAACCATCGGAGCCTGGTGCGTGAAATAACGGCGCTGAGTGGTCCATTTCCTCTTCCTGTACCATAAAGAAGGCGTCGAACAGGTTTGTTTTTCACGCAGTATTCCCATCAGACGCGAGCCAAACTGCGATGGCACCGATCTTGTTATACATCGTACTCTTGACTGACAGGCTGGTATTTCGCTGCATTCATAGACGAATTAGGCGCAGTACTGCCTATCAACGGCTCCCAGATCAAGCTATCTTTACTTGCTGAGTCCAAACAAGAATGCAACGCGTCGTGGGGTGCAGTTACAGAACAAGACCACACAGAACCCTCTAACGCAGTGGTTCTCAGCCTTTTTGAGGCTGTTATCCACAAATCGGGTTCACTACAAACCATTGCCCCACCGAAACTTAGTTTAAGAAGCTAAGTACATATTACCTATTACCTTTTTTGCTTTAAATTGCGGAAGATTAATACTATTTTTACTTTCAATCCTCCTAAGAAAGTATACCTATTTTTGCGCAATTTTTTAAATAATCAAAGTGATTTATCTTAATGATACGCTTGGTGCAGATTATTTCTAACCATTTTAGTATATTTGGTGCGGTTTCAGCTAATGCACATCTCAAGTCATGCTCCAAGTTCATTCGGTTCCTTACTTTGGTGTGTGATCCCTCTGCAAACCTGAACAGATGTCAGTGATTTCTCATTTGTTTCAATCATTTCTTCCAAGTTCGTCCTGTTAAACAGCTTCCCATCGACAATCCTGAACACTAATGGCCTGTTTTGTCCCTTCGACCTTGTGAAGAACATTCCCTCACTCCTTTACCTGATCGGGCGACCTATGCTCCTACCTTAATATTCACTCAATTCTGTAATTCGACGCGGTGAACGACTGCCAGAGTCAAAAGTACAACGATTGACCAGCAAACCGATAGTGGCGCTATCTAGATACGTTGCTTTGCAGGCTTGTATTCGTATTTTAGGTGATGAAATTTAAACTGAAAATTGCCTACTTCGTCAACCATTCACTAATGCTTAGTCACTGATGGCTGATCAATAGCGATTAAATTGTTAGTTACGTGTCTTGATATAGATGACTTCCTTTTTAATTTTGTTTGGCAACAGATTGCTGACCCAATCCTCCTATCTTTCTACACCCCCGTAAACTTCCATTTTACTTCTTCTGGGGTAATTTCCCCCAAGTTAAGAACCACTGGTCTAACCAATCAACCACTTCCAGTGTAACCTGCCTCCCCAGTCCTGCAATAGCACCTTGTCTTTTGCTTATTGCATTACTTCCTCGCTTCGCTCTGTTTGTTGCCTTGCTTTTACCACCATAGTATCGTGGTGGTTCCGATCCACAATTTTCGGTATATTCCTTTGTGATTTTGTTCAGGTGCTCACCAGTCCTCGCCCCACGATTCATCACTGTGTCCACAGTTCGCGGCTGATGAGCATCGATTCGAACTCATCCACCATGAGGCGACTTTGGACCGTCTTCGAGGCTGTCACGATCTCACTAATGTGGCATTCATGGGCACACTGGTCTGTTGTGGCTCTGCTAAAGGAGTAGTCATCGCTACGGGCGCACACTCCGAATTCGGGGAGGTGTTCCGATTGATGCTATCCGAAGAGGTCAGTGTGAAATCCCTGGAATTAATTCAACCTTGTCACTATGCCATTCTGTTCCTCTCATTTTTGATGGTCACCATTACAGCGCATTATGTCCCATTCGCTTTGACACAACGTTGTAAAACCGGAACTTTTTGATGTTGCTCTCTCCCAACACACAGCACACGATGATCGGTTTCGTCCTTTTTCGAACACTCCACATGAAAAGGTAGTTCCGAAGCGGGGTATGGTGGAACTTGACACATAGTATTTGATGGCTTACACCTTGATTGTAGCCGCTCCGCGCACATTAAAAAGTAGAAGATCGGTGAGCGTTGCTTCCCCCGTACCGTTGTTGCTTCCTGTTTCCTCTATCTCCTTGTTTCTCCAGCCCTATTTATCCCGCCCTTTTTCGTGCTTTTCCCACTGTCCTACTGAACCCGACCTCTCACTAGGGGGTTGTGATATTCACATCCAATTATTTACATATTACAACCCGCTGTACTAGTTGCACACAGAAGAACTTGGACCGTTGCACCGGAGTAATATTACATAGTTGGCGATTTTACCAGTTCAAGCCACCAATTCATCGAGGTTTAATTGTAGCTCTTGAAGCGGTCATTAACCCTCTTGCTATTGTACTGCTTGTCGTTGAATCTGCCGAGCATAATATGCCGCGCTCAACACGTCTTGTAAGTAGGCATATTGATACCAGGATGGGTCATTATAGGCGCTGAGGACAGCGCCTCCTAATGCGTGGATATTGTAAACGGTCCGCGGGCGTTCCTGTAACACTTTAAAAGGTAGAATAACGATGAATGCTGTTTTCAGTTCCGTTGTTGCTTCCTAATACCATGATTATGTTTCACCCTGGCTCCCTTTGCTGTCCTACTTAGCACAATCTCTTACATTGTACTTGTGATACGGGTATCCAACTACCTATCTACTATAACCCGCTGTACTAGTTAAGCACAGAAGAATTTGGTACTTTGGACCGAGGAATATCACATTGTTCACTAGTCCACTGATCTTCACGTACAAAGCACAAGTAGCGATCGAACTTGCATTGTCAACTTGATGCACCAAAAGACCTTTGATTACCCGAAACGTTACACTTTGTGTTTTTAACTCGGCTGCACAAAGTGCTAGTAATCCATGTTTAACCACATACTTGATTGTATTCGATATTCAGAGATGCCCGCTTACCTTGGCTGAACATTCCGTAGCTTAGGCGTACACATGTATTTCACCGTATCACACTGGTGTTCAGACTCACTGTCCGTTCATAGAATGAAAGAAGCACCTGACGCTTCTATGCCCCGTGTGCGTGAGTGTGTGCACTTTGACACTGGACTACAAAACCCATCCATTTGACCGTGAGATTCTTGTACGTTTACATGACCTGAGAGAAGGGGATAGGAGAAACCCTATGTCAGAGTTAGCATTGACTGTGTTCACCTGAAGAGACGCATTCCCGGTGTTGGCACTATCATTGCGGTTGTGCTGAGTGATGATAGTGATCAAAAATACCACAGCGGGAGTCAGCATGCAATGAATTTGTGCTACATGTTTAGGACACTGTTTGTGCCAATACGTAAACGTGATAGCCAAGGTAATAGTGTTACCATGGGGCTAACTTCGGGAACAACAAGATTTTGAACGCGTACAACACGAAAACAACGTTTTTGATCGATCACTTAGTAATGAAGGTAGATGGCCATTTCGGACTTGCGAAAAATTGTTCCAAGAGTCACTCTGGATAAGCGGATATCTCTGGGAAATTCCGTGTCGATTGCACAGTCAAATTGCAGTTCTTTTGAAGTAGTCCGGAGAAGGACTGGAAGACAAAATAACCATTTGGGAAGAATGCATTAAGTCACAACTTTTACTGCTAAATCACAGGTTGCTGGATCCATAAAAGTCCAATTTGACTTGATGAAAACCTCCACAGACATGCCTGAACCAAGAGAGGTCTAGGGACAACAGACAATAGGATCCTAGGCGGTGTGAACTAGGCATGATGTCTTCGCTCAAAGAAATGTTAGCATTACTACATTTGGAATCGTTAAGAATAAGGGGTCTGGATATAGACCATCTCATCAGTTCTAATCCACGCTGAAACATCGAACACCTCCCAACGGAGAGAGCCATACGCTCTAGAACGACCTTGTTAACATACTTGGATTTAATAAAAGTCGGATGTATAGAAATTTGCTCAACATGTGGAGAGAATGGAAGAGGTGGTTGGATTGTTCCCTGCCAAATACCACAGTCGGCACGGCGAATGGAAGATTTTTGGTGAACTTTCTTACAAACTAGGTCGAACAACGTGGCTCTATCCAGACTACCGAAAACATTCTAATGGCTAAGGAAGAGAATTCATACTGACTTGCATTTTTCATTCTAGGCAGACGCTACAAAATGAACGAGGTTTTATGTGGCATCTGATGTGAACTCTGAGGTCTGCACGAGCTGTGTGCTTGGCTGGGGTGGTTTCGAAAAGCCGTAGTATACACAGTTTTTCAAAGACTTTCAGCAGTGCGGTCGTGCACGCAACTGGATTATACTTTTTAAGCACCGATGTTATTCTGGGCCATCTCCAAAAGTTTTGGATGACGCCACTGGTACGGCACTTGTTGGAAATATCTGTTAAGGAGCGAATCGACAAACTTCTCTAACAACACTGATGATCGAGCATCTAAATCATTGACTTTCTCTCACTTGTGTGTTCCTGCAGACATCACAGTGATCAAAGAGGAAATTTGGACCTGAACTAATGCAAGAAGTTCACAGGGATGTACCCAACGAATGGGGCCAAACTTCGCATTGGATACCTGCATGCCCATTTTACCACACTGCCTGCAGTCTCTCTCACTACAGGTGCCTAAAACCATATCGATGTACAAACTCTCTCGCCTTCTTATCTCGGTTTTTATTGCAAAAATCAGGTTTACGGCACAGTTAATCATTTTACACCTTTGGAGCTATCTCTTCGAACTTTTTTCTCTACCAATAGTGAAAATCCATCTTGTCGTAAGCAGATCGTTTCTGTGGAACAGGAGTAGAGATAGCAACTAGCGAAGCTCGTGTTGGGCTCATCCTGGGATTAAAATGAAGTCATTTGAGGACAGCATTGATTGAAGCTACATGATATTGCCTGTCTATCAGTTACATGGTTTGATCGTGTTGAAGAGTTGTTTCATCAGGGCTATATTGTTTTTAAATGCAGCGGTCTGAGTTGCCCATGGAAGTATGCTTTTGTATAGAGGTTAAATAAATTTTATTCGCGTAAATAACATCTAGCTACGCACGGTGTCTGCTGAGGTACCTCACAAGAGTTGCCGGGCAAAAGTCTTAGCGAAGGTTGTATTCCCTTTATTGAAGCGACTAGCAACAATGGGGCTAGCACATTCGAATTTTGGTGGCAACATCACGAAAGTTTATCTGTACTATGTCTCCACCTCCGATGTGGCTGTGCTCGTACTATGTAGACGTTTCCAACAATGACGGATTTAAAACCGCTTCGAAACTGGTTTAACTCCGATTCAATGACAGCTATTTCTTGTTGAGTACGTGAACGGCACGGATGTTGAATTGCAGCAACCTTGTGTGTGACACCTTCACCGCAGTTCTGGGACTGGTTTAGGCAATCAAACCCAATGGGGCGATAACCACAAATAACATTCGCTTCCACATGCAACCAACTCTTGTGACACAGTGATACCGGTATTTGCACGCTGTCTTCACTGCAAAAATGCTACAATGTGTGAACAATTTTCCATAAAGCGGTGACACATTACTAAAAAGTGTCAGTGGACCGCGCACTTTGTAGACAGGGCAGCGACCAAGGCCGCAATACTAACCAGCTTCAGCTTGTTTCCAGAACGTTTTTTGATGATCGGTTTAAGCGTGTTTCTGACCTTGTGACCACATTCAAGGAAACACAGACTCCTCCTCGGCCTATCACTTGTGGTTATCAAAAGCTCGACTGAATAGGGCAATGTGATTGAACTTGACAGTAGTTCAGTAAACCAACACGTTGAAACAATCGATATAAAACTTGAAACTCATGATCGATGGCACAAAAGAGTACTCCATAGAGAACAGTAACGGACGAATTTAAATGCTCCGCCAGTGTGACGGACAATTCACTCTTCTGATCGCGATGACCGGTCCGTCGTGTCTATGCTCAATTTTGGATTATCAACGGTTCAGTATATTGTGCAACTCTCGTCAGTTGTTCGATTTTTCAATTAAAGAGACTTTCAGCATCCTTGCCGAATTGTTTCGGGAGCACTTGTTGTGGCTTGCCGAGTAATCTCATTGTACCAACTGCGTCGTAGTTAGGAGTTGCTCCGTTCCAGCGAATGGTTTGGTGATTGTGTTCCAGGACGTGACGGGTTTCGCCTGGCAAACCTTCTCCCTATAGAAAGCCACATACATATGTTGAAAACTCCGTGATGTGGCGAGTGCAACTCGTCACTAGCTAAGCTCACTGCCCCTGCTTCACACTACTGTCTGCTGCTGAAATCGTGGGGAGGCTCGGATCCCTGTTTGGAAGCTGAACAAAGAAAAGGCTTATGAACTCCGTTGCCTTGCGGATAGGTTATTCAGCCAAAGGCCCTAGATGGTATCCCCTAAAACAACTCACCCTACTTTGGCTTGGGCAACCGAGTAATATCCCTTCCTCTGACAAGACTGTGGATTTCTTTTTACGATAACTGTACCCTCCATTGTTGTTGTTGGTTCCATGTATATCTCTAGGCTGTTGAAAAAAAGATACAATGGAACCTCCGTAAATTGACCACTCAAAGGACTGGACCAAATTGGCCAACATACAGTGGTCTACATCCGTAAGGCTTACGTGGTGAACGTACAAGCAATAACATTGTGGTCAACTTAAAGAGTGGTCAAATTTGGGGGGTCTTACTGTATATACTATGTACTGAGCGTTCAGCTAGAAACCGTAGTGTGCGTTCCTAGTTTTCAACTGTAGAGATTTGTGATGCAGTGATTCGTTCTACTCTCATTTGCTGTCACGTTTCGTAGTCCACTCTAGTTCGGACGTAGTTACGGTGACTGGCATGTCAATCGAGCAGAGTGCTTCTCGGTCTGCCGTGCAGTGTAACACATCGTCTCAAATGTGTACGGAACTTGTCGGCCAGTAGTCCAAGGAATAAGTACCTGTCTTGTAATCCGAATGTCACCGGTTCAAAAGTGCATAAGTGCGGGCGAACTCAGTACCCCTAGCTCGCCTGCGAATGACGGAGGTTACGTGGAAGCGGAGCCTCGGTGCGACGCGCGCCGGCGTACTACTGATGCTTTACCTATTTATTAGGTTGTTCAAAAAGTAATTTCGTTTTCTAGTTTCACCCTTTTATTAGTACTTTTCACAACCAACTTCACATTTATTCCGCATACTCATTGTATATTTTGATAGGTGATATACTAGGGTTTGTTAGTGTAAAAGTTTGATGGATTCTACGCACTGGTTTTTGGTTGGCACCCTTTCCAATGTGGGAAGTAAAAGGCAGCATTCGGCATATTTTACTTTTTTACTATCGAGAGGTAAAAATGCTGTTCGAGCAAGAAAAAATACTTATCGGATATGTATGGAGAAGATGTATTCACAGGTCGCCAGTGCCAAAATTGGTTTGCAAAATTTCGAACCGGCATTACTTAAGTAATTAAATTAGTTACTTATTTAATTAACGTAATTACTTACTTTGCATTAGTTGCTGTAAACCGGCAACTAACTACTCGTGAGATTGCTGAGAAATTAACTTTATCTAATTCGATCGTTCATGGTCATTTGAAACCATTTGAAACGCCTGGACTTCATCTCAATGCTCGGCATATGGGTTCTTCATGTTTTTTCGAAAAGAACTTTGTGCCGTTGCCTTGACGTCTGTGATTTGCTTATCATACGTCAAAAGGGTGATAAATTTTGAAGCGCATCATCGCTGGGGACGAGAAATGGGTTGTTTACAGCAATGTTAAACGCAGGTGATCATAGAGTAAAAAGATAAACCGTTTCAAACCACTTCGAAAGCCGATATTCATCAAAATGGGTGATGCTATCTGTTTGGTGGGATTTCAAAGGATTACTCTTTTAGAGCTTTTACCGGACAACACAACGATCAGTTCTGAAGTGTACTGCCATCAGATAGACAAACTGAAGGATTCACTTAAACAGAAAAGGCCAGATTTAATCAATAGAGAAGATGTAGTGTCCCATCAAGATAATGCGAGATGTCACAAGTTTTGCAACTCGCCATAATATTTTACAGCTTGGATGGGATGTACTGCCACACCCACCATGTTATCCAGATCTGGCACCTTCTGACTATTAGTTGTTCCCGTCTCTACAAAACGTTTTAGACGGCAGAACCTTTACTTCAAATGAGCATGTTAAAAAGCACTTGGATCAGTTTTTTGCCTGCAAAGAACAAAACTTTTATGAGCGTGGAATCATGCTACTGCCAGAAAGATGGGGAAAGATAGTGGACTAGAATGGCCAGTATATATATATATATATATATATATATATATATATATATATATATATATGACCCATGCCGAGGCTGATGTTGCATTCTTGATGCTTCTTCACCGCAGTTGGGCTAAACCAACTTACACTAGGTCTTTTTAAGCTGGCTGAATTTCATTCCACTTTATTTGGTTTGTTCTGCCTACCTGAATACTCTTCTATTAACTGGCCACGTTGCTTATGCTAATTGTGCTAACCTTCGGTAATTTTGTTGTGTTTGTAGCATTTTTAAGCAACTTGTGGATATTTCTTACTTATCGTGGATTCGTTGCTAACCAAATTACTTCATATGCTAATTTAGCGGAGAGTTATGCCACCGTATCTGTATGCATTATTGGATTTGTTGCATTTCATCTTGTCGTTTCCAGTGATTGGCTGTTGCTTGATATCCCCGGTGTGGTTGCGCTTGATGTGCATGTTGACAAGGTGCCTACCTGTCTATTACCCACTACCTCGTCCATACTGGCTCCAGGAGACAGTTGGTCGTTGCTGGAGGGGACGGGGTGTACGGTCCTTGTGGCCGTGCTAAGCTCGAAGAGTGGTTCCATGCACTCAGTGTGGAGCGGACCACAGTCCAGCCACCGCCTTGTGTGCGCTTGATTTCCCAAATACAGCGTGCTTGTGTTTGAATGTGAAAGAGTGTGGGCCGGCTCCGTTGATGAAATGTGGTTCCCAACCACGTGCCTCCCGGTCTTATTCCTTCGGGTTTACACTGGATATGGGGTGTGTGGTTGGAGCTGTGGGTGGTGCAGCGCAAACCACCCATGGTCCCTCTGTAGGCGCAGGCGTCCTGTGTCTGGCCACAGTGACAGGCGAATCCGAAACCGGATGCCGCCAACCATATAAATATATATATATATATATATATATATATATATATATATATACTAATGAAGTATTTCTTTGCAACATGTCTTTCTCTTTATAATTCCAAATAAGGATATCAGAAAGCGAAGATTGTGGGATGTCATCGTCATTTCGCGCATACACCTCAACCACAATACAGGTAATTAAAAAGGAATGCAAACGCAGGGTCACAGGAAATCAATTATAGATCACGTTATCCGATTGGTGCGTTACACGCTGCCACAGTCGTCTGCATGATAGTCAGCTGTTTTTGGACACAGCGGTAGGCGCTGTCGATCGATCACAATGACCTCGAGTAGCTTGAGTATGTGAGGCCTTTGACTGCGAATGAGGACTGTGAATGACGTATATGGGTTCATTTGGTGACCGGTACTCATCATATGTCTCGTAATTGCGGAGGAAACTTTGCTTCTCCATTCACCTCGTGCGACCGTCGCGTTTTCCATCTGTTTCTGGAGCCACTTTGGAATGTGTTCATTGATCCGAGCACCCAGATTTAGAGTAGCGCGCCCAACCTAGCTGTCACCACAGTTGCACATGAATTTGTATAAGCAATGGGACGTGCACTGATTCGACACAGGTCACTATAAAAGGTCGTCCTTCATTTTTATACCAAAAACGAAATAACTTTCCTAACAACATAATACTTGCTTACTTACTGATTTACTTATTTCCTTACTTGCCTTTGTAAACTCTACCCCTGCTCTATTAATCCTTCGTAGGCGCCCCGGACGCCATTACAGAAGAACATGGATCGCTTAGGGAAACATCTGTCGATCATTTCTCTGTTCATCATCGGACTCATTGTCTTCACTGGTCTGTTGCAGGGCCGACGGTTTTTGGAGCTGGTCAATATCGGAGTGAGGTAAGAGCCCTCATATAACGGTCGTTTTGTCTACCTATTGTCGCCGGAATTGTCGTTCCCATTGGACATAGCATCTAAGTGGCCAAATTGCTTTGCTTTTCACCGTTTATCGTTCACTCATCTTTAAGTGCGAATTTTGGTCAACGTACCGACTTAATATTTACTCATTACATTTTTAACACCACTTTCCAGGTAGTGATCATAATGTGGTACATCTCAGTTTTGTATTACCAGTAATCATCTTGAAACCAAATCCTTCGCCTATGGTGGCACCACGCAGATAAGTTAGGAATTTAGGTAAATTCTCGCCTCTTCTGCGAAAAACGAACTGCAAACTGTTATTCCTTACCAAAGAACCACAGACTTCGGTTGATGGAATGTATGCTAACTACCAACAAATCCTAGACACCCTTGCGCCGATCAAACAACAACCGAGTAAAGATGTTTCATTAAGAACGCCGCGCTTAATTAACCAACTAAAGATAGTACGTGCTCAGATTTAGCGAACGATTGCTTTCTCTTTATTAATAAGGCAAGACAAGCTCCTTGCTGAACTTGAGTTAGAAAGTGCACGTAGATTACTGGCTTAAGAGAAACGAGCTCTGGAGTCTGCAAACAAATCCAGAGACTCAGTCAAAATGATGGGGACACGAAATAAAATCCAACCTGTACAGTTTCCGCCAGCACACTACCAGACAAATCTCTGACTACGGATCTTTATATAATAGCAAATATTCTAAATAATCACTTTACCTCATCTTTCTCTGTTCTCTGTAACGTACCATTGCCCAGAACAACCATTTGCATAGTAAAACTGAGCACAGTGACTTTCAACAGCAGAGATATTCAGCGCCACATAGACCGACTACGATCATCTTATCCTGACCCAGACGACCTACCAAGTTCCTTACGGTGCCCATGAGATACTACTTTTACTCTTACCCTTGTTTACCATGTCCATGAAGTCGGGAATTTTCTCAATCCAATGAAAACTCGCGCTACTCAGGCCTAGGCACAAAAATGGCCCAAAAGCAGATCTCAGAACCTACCGCTCGATAAGTCACACGCCTGTTTTTTGCAAGAGAGTAACGGAACGAATGGTCAAGGAGAAAACAATAAACCATTTTCTCTCACAAAACCTGATTGACCAGACTCAGCGTGGCTTTATATAGAAACGATCATGTCAAACATGCCAGCTGGAATTCCCGAATCGTTTAATGAGCTCTGTGGATAATAGCCATACAGCTCTCATCGGTTTCATCGACCTTGAAAAAGCATTCGATAGAGTGTCGAATCGTCCCCTGGTATGGAAAATGCCACAATTTGGCATCATAGACACCTTGCACGCTTGGTTCAGAACAAATCTTACTGATCGCAGTCAACAAGTCCAAATAGGTATCCATGGTACGTCATCGCTGCCTGTTCCTGGTGGTGTGATTCAAGCGAGTGTCCTTGATCTACTGCTATTTTTGATGTTCATTAATAACGTAATAGAAACTATCCTAATTGGTACAGCCTAACTTTTTGCAGATAATCTTATGGTACTGTACACTATTAAACCTAAAACTTTGGAACACACTTAGGCTAAGATACGGAATGATTTATCAGCTCTCGAAAGATGGTATAACAATTAGCAAAGTGGCAAGGGAAAAGTGGGTAGACCCCAGGGTAATACTAGTGTCCTCTTGCACCAAAATTTATGGTGTCGGGAGAATTTTTTGGAAACAGTGTCACCACAAAAACATGTAATCATGATACTACGGTGTTTGTCAATGGTGTCTATAGCATAAACGTTTCACTGACAGCATATTGCTAGTCACCTTTATATTGTTCGCAGCTATTGCAGGCAGGTTGTGTCATTTTTCTAAGGTTGTTTTCAGCTGAAACATCATCGAGGTCCTCATTTTATGGAAAGACGTAGTCGGATCCAACCAGTGATTTTGTCAAAAATTTCACCATGTACAAGCCTTCGTCTGGTATTTCAATGACAACTCCCAAGAACTTGTGCACAGTATTTTTACCTTCATATTTAACTGAAACCCAGTCCGCAATGATGATATTGCTTGTATCTTCATCATTTCAGTGGCGTTCTTGCTGTGAGTTTCTTTGTCCCTCCCCATCCCTTTTAGCCTCCTCTTCCAACCACGATCTCATTTCGTAACGTAATATAATTTTACATAATAATTTTTCTTTTTGCCTAGTAGCCGGCTGGTAGCTTACCGAAACGATGCCTATCCGTTGCTGGTAGCTCAGCTGCCATGCACCTGTTGTATTTATTTTCTTTTTCCTTTGTGTATTGCGGCACAGTAGCTGAGGTGTTTCCCACCTCTAGCTGACGTGTATAATGGTGATGATGATGATCTTCACCTTTGCTCATTTGTGTACTTTCTCCAGTCTGCTCCATATCTGTCGAGAAGTTAAGGATGGAATTGGCATTCTTTGAACTTGTCTTCTTTGATTTATTAGCTTTTCTTTCCTTTTCTTCTTTAAACTCTGACTATTACTTCTCCTCTGTTGCCTCTGAATTCACGGATAACAGTTTGCTGCGGCAATAGGTCAAACCATTGTTTAAGCATGGAAGGAAAAACTTTCTGCAGTCTGCTTTCTCCAAACCACGTCTTCAGAATAGACTTTCAGGCCAACTTTAAAGGTCTAGACACCGACATCTAATGGTTGAAGAGCATAGCTAGCGTTTGGTGGTAAACGCATTATTATTATTATTATTATTATTGTTATTATTATTATGCTGTTTTTCATGACCAACTTTACTGTTCTGTAAAGGACGTGGCTGCCATGTCCATCATAAAGAATCACAATACGCTTCTCCACATGTGCTACGCGTTGAATAAAATGAGCGAATCAGGACTCAAAAACTTAGCTCTCCATCCATCCTGACTTTGTAACGCCAATGCTTGATTCTATAGCACCACCTTCAGTTCAGGATTGATACAGATATAACCATTTATAAATGATAAAAGGGCGAAGATAACATCCAGCGGCTAAAACGCGGAAAAGCACATTGAAAGTGGTTTTACCTGCGCATGCTGATTTGTAATAGGCATTGCATGATGACACCGGTACGAACACTTTTTCATCTGTGGGATCTGTTCCTAACCCTGCTACACCGAAATTAAATATTCGGTGCGACTTGTCAAGTAGGTCATTTTCAGTCAACACTTTTTTATACATTTTGACGAATTCATCAACAACTCTCTTGGAAAGTCCTTCAGATCTTGCTTTTGTCAAAAGTCCCGGTTTTCGACATGAAAGCACCCCTCTCTATCTCTTTTCAAATCCAAGCATCCATTCTTCTCCAGGATAGTTGTCTATGAGCGCGCTTAACCTTCCAGTGGAGTCTACGTAACATTTGATCATGGAAACTAAGTCTACACGATCGCCGGTAAAACCGTTTTCTGTTAAATTGCACAAGCTGTAGGCACTTATCCTCTCCTCATCAACAGAAAGTAAAGGAAGCCAACCGGAACCAACTCATTTGGGAGATTGCACGCTCCACCTTCGTAACGTCTCGTATGGAACTTTCTTCTCCGTGGAATCTTTGTATATTATGGCTCCCTTTTCTTTAATAACTCCTAAGTCTTCCGGGGAATATCTTGTTGAGGTTTTTTTGCGATTGTAATTTCGTGACATTCTTCGCGAGTCATTCTAAAGTGGGGCTTGCTTTGGTTATTTTCCATAAAATAAGGAAATCTTTATAGGCTTAATTTGTATGTACTTTAGTCTATAACTATTAACTCACATTATAAAGTATTACTTAACACTATGTGACTTAAAATAACATCAAAAAGTATCTCCAAAAAATTGTGTCAAGTTTCCATGTAACTGATACTGATCAGTAGCAGCGAGTAGAGCATGCTCTGTGTAGCTGCATCAATTGTCGCTCTTGTACATTAACGTATTAATTATCGTTCCGCTCTCTATATTTTGCCTCTGCAAAGTGTTTGTCTAGAAGCTACTTAAATTCGGCCACTGCATTCGCCTCTATTACCGGCTGCGGCAGGTTGTTCCAGGTATTCACCATTCTACGTTCGAAACAGAGTTGATGAGCGACCTGCTTCAACTGCGGTACGATAAGTTTGTACCGGTGTCCTCGCGTGCTGCTTGGTGTGCGCACTTTACCCAGTCTAAGTTAATCAGTAGCCATCTGCAAATTATATTCGAGTTCATTTTAATTTATCTGTGCTTAAAAAGCGTTATCGATCAATAATATGTGGTGCATACCAGTCTGTGTTTAATGTTTAGTTATTTTCAACGGAAGTTTTACCAGCTAGTATAGACACATGACAGCTTCAGACAAGGTGGCGGAGCTTTCTTGTGTTCTAGTAGTGAGGCAAAATATTGTCAGATTATGCAAAACAGCCACAAAAATCATTCCACTTTAATAAATGTCTACAAGGTTCATACAACTTAAACCCTCTATTTAATACAAGTTTTAATCTCTCCATATGCCCGTTTTACCCTGGGTGACCCTATACATTATTCAGGCACCCTCAATTTCGGGGTACAGATCGAATTCATAGCAGCCAAAGCCCACCAAACAACATGGTTATTTTACAAATCACTGATATTGCGTAATTCCAAGCTGCATATGTTTGATGCTATTTACTAGCTGTTGGAAACGTGCTCGTCTAATGCTTGAAGAATATGCAGCGTCGATTCACCAAAGCCCTGTTTACCAAATCCTCACTACCAAACTATTCAGAGCGCTGTATTCTACTTAACTTAGAGCCGTTGTGATTACGGGGGTGGAAACTGGGCCTGAACTTTCCATGCGACTTAGTGCACAAATGAGTATATTCCCCGCACACTAGCATATACTTTATTCTAAATGGAAGGTATAACATTAGGAATAAGAGAAATTCGCTTCCCACAAGTAGAACAAAACAAGTATACGCCGGAAGTTTTATCTGACGAAGTACTCAGATATCTGGAACAGACTACCTACTGAATTGCGACTATGTAAGTCTAAACAATGAAAAAAT